TTTGCCATGAATTTTCATAGTACCAATTTTTAGGGATTTGCTTTCTTGTTTGAATGTGGACTTGTTTTGCGGCTAATATTGGCCTACTATGCTAGAATGATTTGAAAATTTTGGGGCTCTATGTGCGCTAAATATCTGTGGTTATGGACACATTTGACAACCATGTTGAGACTTAAACTATTCCTATAACATTCAATTTTTTTTAGAAAAAAAATCCTTTCTAGCCCAATAACTTCCCACCGTAATGGTCGTTTAGCTTCGCATCTATACTGTATGAGTTGGGGAAAAAAATCTTGGTTGTTATGCTGGCACTCAGCCTTTGTCACCAGATGCTAGTGAGTTTTTAGGCGAAAGCAGAAAAGGTGTTTTATTCTAACCTTACAGTATCTATTCGTGTACCATGGCAGCCATTATTGTACAATCTTTGTTTATCACTCAAAGCAGTTCTTATTCTCCACATGGTAGTAGTAGTTGGACTCAACTTAGTGCCACTTTATTTTCTATTATTTGTTGTATTTGTAGAGTTCACAAATCAGCGTGAATTAACCCAGAAAAAGTTTAAACGTTTCTTTTGAGAGCTGTCTTCCAAAAATTTTCCCTACGTTTTGAATAAGGCCATGATGGAGACTGATAGAGATGCCCCTCACAGCAGCAGTGTAATAGTCGGTGTAAGGCGTACTTCAGTTTTTCCTCCTGAAAACACTACTGAATTGTGTGATTATGTGACTCACGTCAGTTTTTTGCGTGTTTTCTATCTTTAGCTCCTCCCATCAGTTGCGCCTCCAATTGCACAGTCTAATCATCCACTGACTCCAACGATATTGAAGAGTGCATCAGCAACTTTGAAGCAAACCGTATGGTATACATTTGCTTCACCTCAAAATATTTTTAATTACCATACTTATTTGCATGCCAACTAACTTGAAGTTCCAATTTTACAATAGGAGATGGGAGTAAGTTCGAGTGGACTTCTGAAATGGATGAGCACTTTATTGATGCGTATATTGCCTTCAAGATATCAAAAAAATGGGACCGGCGTAGATCGCTAGAATGGAATTATGGTCAGATAGCCGAGCATTTGCGTGAAAACCATGAAGATGAAGTCAGTGCTGCCCAGTGCCAATCTAGATTCTACCAGTTCAAGAAGAAATGACAACTTTTTTGCCAACTTCGAGGGCTCAGCAACAAGGCCGAAACTGGCATCAGATGGGAAGAGAACACCCAGAATTTCACTGCTGACAAGGTCCATTGGGCTGCTCTCATTTCGGTTAGTTTTTGCATTTTTTGTCTACCGAACCTGACCACTTTGCTTATGCATATATAGAAGCTAGAAACGTGAAAAATTATCTATCATTGTGTCTTCTAACCAACAGTCAAACAGCGAGTACGAAGACTTCTCTAAGTCCTTCAGTTGCGGCTTATACGAGCGTTTCACTCCTGTCATGATTGGAGAAGCGGCTACAGGGACACGAGCACAGTCTGATGGCCAGCCAGTTGCCCTTGAGCAACTGGGAAACGAGCAAACCACCTTTAGGAAGAGTCGGAAAGGCAAGGCCAAAGCCTCATCGTCGTCGCAATCGCCTTCAGCCACCTCCCCTTGAGAAGGGGAGGATGTGTACTACGTGTCCTCTATTCCAGGAGGCAGTAGTGGGAAGTGACCAGCATCCAGTTTGGGTAACTCCGGCGAGCAAGAGGGTTCCAGAGGCACAAAATCTAGCCGGTCATCTGCAGATAGACTTGAAGACGCTTTAAGCAAGATCAGGAGCTTCATAGATGTGGCGATCATTGATCGAAAGGACTGTATAGACAGAGATGAGACATACAAAGTTAAAAATTGTCAAGACATTGTGTCAGCCATAGATATTCCCGTTGATTAGAAGGTAGAAATAGACTCGTATCTCGCCGAAGATACGAATTTAGGCCAACAGATTATCTTCATGCGCTATGATACTACTGGAAGATATGCATATGTTGCAAGGCATATGAGGAAGAAAGGTGAGGCATAATTTGAAATAGCATATTCCACCAAAACAGAAGAGTTGCCGTCTCAAATCTGTTTCTGATATTCACTCCGGCAATGGTTCTGTTATAGGGGAATATAATATCCCTAGTCGCTGTCAACTTTGGTTTGTGTAAGTTTGGTGTGATGCGTGTGGAGTTGCTCCTTTTTTTCCAGTTAGGTGGAGTTGTATTTTTTTTCAATCTTTAGGACTTACCTATATCCGCTAAGAACTATGAGTTGGAGTTGTTTTTCTTTTTACAAAACTGTTGTTGTACCTTGTATGTGTAATATGTGGGTGGAGTTTGCTTGTCAAATTTTTGTTTCATTTTGGTGTGTGAGATTTTGTTGCTAGTTCTTAATTGTTACTTTTATTGCGTAATGGATATGTGCAGTATGAGATTGGTATACGTATGAAGCTCATTGTTAGTTTGAATTGTCATAGCTTTATGTTTCTTACGGAGTTGCGAAAAGGAATAAGTGGAGGCATTTGCTTCATCATTGCTTCATTGTTGGCTAAGTGTTCATAGCTCTCAGTTTTGTAGAATTTTTTAGCAAGTAGTTTGTATGCAAGAGTTCTGAGTTACTCATCTAATTCTTCTAAGAGTAGTCAGTTACTCTCTAATTCTTCTAAGTGAACTCTTAACAGCTATTTTTACTAAGGAAGTTCATCATTTGTAGTTCATCATTTTCTAGTTCATCACTCCATTTGGTTGTTATTGTACTTCATCATTTAGGGGAGCTATTTATTGTCAAAATTGATCATTTTTACTCAGGAAGTTCATCATTCGTAGATGAAAATTTACTTTCTCACCTGTTTAACCTACTGGTATGTAAGGGTAGTAGTACGGGATTTGAGTGATTACGACAGTGGATGGAAGTCATTCAACCCTTGTGATTAAATTTTGCTAGTACAAGGTAGCGAAAGACAAAAAAAATTAGCCGCAGATGAGTTTCTTAATATAAGTTCTTTAGCCACTTGCAGCTACACCATGTCCTATTTATGTAATATACAAACTCGATTTGGACCTTCTCTAAATAGATTAAGTGTGCTTTTCTATTTTTATACTGAACAGAGATAGTAGCAAAATTCACTCTATTGAATGTTCACTTGGGATCAGCCAATATCACTCTACTTTAGAAAATTGTTTGTTCACCTAGGACCAGCCGACAGCACTTCACCAATTATGATAAGCTAAATGCTGTTCTTTCTAGCTAAAACCGCAAAAGAATCCACGACTCATTGGAGGCATTCTTGACTTTTTTTGCATGAACGCCCGTGAACGACCGTGGCTCGTGCCTTAGTTGATTTGGACATAGGCTTTCTCAATTATCTCTCTGGAGGATCGTACACTTCATTCTACTCCATGCAATAGAAAGGGTTCACGGGCTATTACTTTGGTTCTCCTGTTATCTCCAGACCCCAGTGCTACTTACATATTCTGATTATCTTTTTCCTTGGAAAGTGCTTGATATTTCTAGAGTTAGACTTTCAGCCTGTGATGTGTAGCTATGAATTGCCAATATAGGGAAGTAACTGCGATTTGTTACGGATACTTGGAGTATGGCAACAGGCAATGCCAAACTTAAACTTGCTGCCTACTCCAGCGAGCTGATCACAAGCATCACAAGCACACTATTCATTTGCTATGGGACTGAAGTGTGGCAATGACATCAATTAATGAACCATGATCATTAAGCAATTCTAATGGTTCGAGGATGAATGCTTGCGAAGGTCTCAAATTTCTTTAAGTCAGCATACAGAAGAAGCATAACATAAAGTAGCATGACGTACAAGTAATTAGGAGCAATTTCCTTAACAAATGCTTGCGGATCCTTCCTAAAAAAACACACACATATTGGAGGGGCCCAATATTTCTTCCCAACATTAATATGCTTGTCATTGTCCAAAGAAGAAAGCTAAATGAGAAACTGTGTCCAGTTTGAGCCATAGGAACCCAGAATGTTGTATGTCAAATAAATTCATCGTTATTTTTTTTTTCATTTTAACCTTCCCCTCTCCCCTATTTCCTCCCTCCCTTCCCCTCTCCCATATCTAATCCTGTACTATTTTTACATTTTCACTTACCCCAACAACAACGAAACAAAGACAAAGGGAATTATGAAACGGGCCCCTGCCATAATTCCCGTGCATCATTTCTGTTTGCTCTATTCATACAGCTATTAGTAGCTGCGTATTATGACACACAACTCCAGCAACATGCCAGTCCACTTTCGGTTGCTTGCCACAGCAACTGTTTGCTCTCTTATTTGGTAGAGGGCAGCTATGTCCACCGAATTATTTCTTTTGATATTGTGCAAGAGCCGATCATAGTTGATCAGGCTTTTCAAAAAGATGGTAGGCTTTTGAAAAAGATGGTAGCCTTTTTGAAAAAGACGTTCATTTTTTCATGTGAGTTTTGTCGGTGCATAGTATTGCTCGTATTTTTATTGCACCTTAAATTTAGTTCTCCTTGTGCTTGGAGTCTCGCAATTGTCACAAAACTCTAGCTTCTCTCGTCTACCGGCTCAAACCAATGTTCTTTCTGACGATAAAGATACCTCTCTGCCACCGAATATTTGAAGGTAATCGTTTCCCTTGCTTCTTATCTGTCAAGTTTGATTCTTATTTAGCAATTTACAGTTACTCCCTTTTTCTCTAGAGACAATTGTACTATGGCGGTCAACAATAGGAGGACGGGCAGAGGACGGAGAGAGGCAATAGCTGAGGAAAATGAAAGGGGTGAGACAATGTTGGTTTTGGTAGCAAAATTAATGATGTTGTCATCGTGACAGGACTAGAGATAAAATACCTCACCATGACAGCTCTCTAACTGGACGACAGTGGGTTGAAGAGGTGATCAATGGGCATTATCGACGCAGTATGAAAAACATGCATATCACAGTTGACAATTTCCTTCGATTATGTGAAATACTCCAGAATAAAGGTTATGTGTCTCGATCCTATCAATAAAGGGTCGAAATAGAGGAAGCCTTAGCAATGACTCTAGTCATGGTAAGTCACCGTCATACTCAGCGCGTGCTACAGGAACAATTCAACGGGTCAATGGAGACAATTAATCGAAACGTGCACAAAGTTCTCCTTGGACTATGCAGATTTGCCGCCACAGTAATAAGGCCGTATGACCACAATAATGTTCACCCAAGAATTGCAAACTCAAAACACTTCTATCCATGGTTCCAGGTAAAATTCTATAATTTAGTCTACTGAATAAAGTGAAAAATTTACCGTCCTTGCAGATCGCACAATTTGCAGTCGATTTTTCATTCTTGGCAGGGTGCTGTTGGAGCTCTAGATGGCACACATATTCCAGTTTGCCCGCCAAGTGAAGAGCAAATGGCATATACCAATCGATACGGGATACACTCGCAAAATGTCCTAGCAGTGTGCGATTTTGACATGCGATTCAACTACATCTACGCTGGATGGGAAGGCAGTGCCCACGATGCACGAGTGCTAGAATCTGCGTTGATGCCGCCATCAGATTTTTCAATTCCACCTTCAGGTAATAATTAGTTAATATTCGGCACACACACACATAATATACACAAAGCCTTGTTACTAATTCTACATCCATACTCCCCTACATGTTTTGAGAAATATAGGGAAGTACTACTTGGTAGATGGAGCGTATAGAAATACTCCGGGTTTCTTACCACCCTACAAGAATGTTCGGAAACGAGACCCAGCCAAGCGGTTGTTTAACACTCGACATTCGAGTCTTAGAAATGTTATAGAGCGCACGTTTGGAGTATTGAAAAAGAGATTTAAATTCCTCAAGGGCCCAGTACCGAATTTTTATATGACCACACAAATTAGTGTGATAATTGCATGCTGTAGGTTACATAATTTTTTGAGAATGTTCCAATCCGGAGATGCCCATTTTCAAAGGTTCGAGGATGAAAATGTCCAATTAGAGGTGCAACCCGACCTCGGAGAAAGGGTACGTATGCAGACGCTAAACGTTTCTCGGACAGAGGTAGAAGCGTGGAAAGTAGTAAGCGATGCAATGGCGGACCAAATGTATGCAGCCCAAGAGCACCGCAGGCGATAGATGACAAACTTCTGTAGTAGTCAAACTATCACACAGTTTTTAATCAACTGCTGCCATCGTAGATGGAATAAAGGTCAATAACCAGAATTAGTGTGTTAAAAATCATGGTAGAGGAATTTCAATGTCTAGCATTTATCTCATAATCATGGACTCTTGTATTATCTTGGTTAAAAAAAGGATAAATAAAAGTTGTAGTTGTCCAAACAATTATTTCAAGTAATATTTTCGCTGCCCAAACGATTATTTGGAAGTTCCATTATTCACAAAAGTCAACTTTAAATATTCCAAATAATATTTCAAATAACACACTATCCAAACACTACCGGGATTATTTGTCAACCCGTATCTGGAAAAACTAGCGGGTCCAAGTCCGTTGACAATCCTATATTATTCATCAAACAAACATAAATGCAATGATAGGGGTCGGACATTGGTGGATACCTATTCGGACTCAAATTTTAGCAGCTTTTCAAAACTAAATCCTACCATACTTCGGGTACAAGTTTAGAAAATTATATTTTTTTTCCGCAACGGTAGATTTTGTATTGATTGGCAAAAATATACACTTCTATGAGCAAAGACTCAACTAGTTCTATACAAAAAGTGTTAGACACACTGAGGATTGATCCATTCCTCATCTTGAGATATGCCTAACGCATAATCACTAATCCATTCACATTTAGAATCTAATTTTCTATCTAAACAAAAGGAGCATTTCTGGAATAAAACTCTGAGGCTATTAATATCATCAATCAAAGTTGCCATTTTGATATCCTTGGCTAACCCATTCGTTATCATTTTCAACAGCTGAGGGCTGAGGAGATGGATTGTAATTTTCTGCCATTGCTGTTGTCTGGCCTTTATGATGGCCATCTTCACAGCTTCTGCACTAGTCTGCAATTGGTTCCCTACGTACCTATCAGTTAGTGCCCAAGCAGACACTAACTGATGGTTGAAATTAGTTGCTATAATCCCAGTACCAACTCTATTGGTTTGTTCTTGCACATGAGTTGATATTCTGATCTGCATTTCATCCCTTCCAACCTCATCTGTTTCTGCAATCTCTCCACCTCTTTCAGCTTCCGCAGGGGTCGTTTTCTCCCCACTCCAAGCTGATGCTTGCTCTTGCCATTCCTGTTGGGCCTTTTTAATTGTTTCTCAAGGATGCCTTCGTTTGGCATTGAACTTTGAACTTCCATTCATTTCTTCTTTTCCAGATTTGCCAAAGGATATTCACAATTAGCTCTACATGTTCCCTTCCTTGTTTAGAAAGCTATAAATAAGTATTATTTATGATGTTTTTAGGGAAGAAAACGTTAGGCTAGTTTTAGTGTATCTTTTATAATTTGCTCTTGAGAAATCAAGATCAAGAGGCGTGCAAGCAAGAATCAATAAGCAATCAACATAGAGACTATAGCATCAAAGATTGAGAAGTTTTTTTTACTTTATTTTCCAATATTGTATTTGTTGCTTGAATTCTTCAATTTATTAATTATTTTACTATATCTATATTGAACTAATTTAATTCCAAGGTTAGGGTTTTGTGAAAGAGTATTGATTATTTATCCTAGTTAAATTCATCATTCTTGATTTGATTTATCTATCTTGTTTTAATTACATGTTTATGCTTGATCACCATAGACAATCTCTTAAGGTTCGTATTAAATTGAGAAGAGATATACAATTGACTACTAGATAGATTAACATATTTAGTTTAAACATGAGAGCAATTTAGGGTGTGCATTTTGTAATTGAAATCACCTAAGATTTTAAAGGGTTCAAATACTTGTGGTGTCAAGAGAAACGTTAAATTTAATTGGGTACAATTTAGATGTATCGAGAGATAATTTAAAGTAATTTTGACTGATACGTTCTTGGTCTGTTAAGAAAATAATTAGATAATTAATTCAAATTTTAGATCAGAATCTAAAATCTTGGTCTCTTGCCAATTGTTTTCTCAACTTTATTCTATTTGACTTGATTTTTTAATTTCTTTTTAATTATCAATTAAATCTTGTGAATTTAAATTTTTTTTTTAGAATAATTAAAGTAGATAAAATTAACTTGTTCTTGTAGATTCAACCCCTAAAATACTCTAGATGATTTATTACTATGATCTAATCTGTACACTTATAGAAATCTTCGATCACAAACTATATAAAATGTGATTTCGTCAAAGCAATCATCTTCCAAATCTCCATTCCATTGATCATGTTCCAAACATATAAAATGATATCTTGTCTTAGAGACAAAATGGTAAGTTAACTGCCTCCCGCAATAATGGGTCAAATTCCATCGATACAATATGAAAAGCACTATATTTTAATATATTCTGATATTAATCAAAATCCAATTTCATCAAACAAATGAAAAAAACATCATAATCAAAAACATTAATAAGCAAATGAGTAAAATCACCAACATTCTATTTAAGCATTCCCCATAACTGTCAAGAAAATCGAAGTAGGAAAATACATTAATAACTTAAATATTAATCTAAGGAGACATTAAAAAAATAGGAGACTCGTATAGAAAGAATTTATGAACAATGAGCTGAGAAAAAAATTACCGGTGTGTCCACAGTGATAGCAAAATGGATCACGAGATGTCTTCCATACAATTTCTTCAAGAATATAAAGTCGAAACTAGATCCATGTTGGTCTAAACACACGTAAACAATGCAGAGAGATGTTAGCAATGACAATTTTTCATTGTTATTTGTCCCATTTGTATATGAAGTCTTGAATGTTTTTTTCTAAAATATATTCTTGACTCAAATTTAGTCTTGCTGATAGTCAAATCCCCCTCTCAATATTCACATTTGATTATCAAGAGTTGGAGGTTTTAATTTTTGAAATTGATCGTGATCAGGAGTGTGTGCATAGCCATTGAAGAGTAAGCTGAAGTTCCTTTTTTTAAAAAAAAAATTTCTTGAACAAAAAAACGTTGAAGTTCTTTTTTTTTTTTTTGAAGTGTTGAATTTAAAAGACAAGGAGAAGGTACAGAAAGTTTTTATTTAGGGACAGTTAGTTTTTTGTTTGTTGAGCTACTATCATATATCTTGGTTTCATGAAAACCATGATCATAATAATGATCGTAATAATTCAATTATTAACTGGTAATTCAAGAATTAGTAATTGACAAAATATCGTTCAATAGAAGGCTGGACGTTGATCATTTATGATGCAAAGTGCAGACAGCAAAATATCCTAATTTTTCTTATTTTTCGTGCTTAATTTTTTTCAGTTACATATAATCCTTATCTAATTCTATTAGTTTTTCCGAATTTTGTATCCACTTTTTAAATTAGTAAGTTTTTTTATGCACTATCAGTGTATAATTTTTTTTTAACACAAGTAAGTTTGGATCATACTACAGAGCATAAATTCAAATTTAAAATATAAATTATGCACATGTGACATACATTTACAACTGGTAATATAAATAAATTATACTATGTCAGTGTATAAAAAGTTAATCCTTTCTTTAAATGAATCGTCAAATATCAAATTAAATGCAAAGTCAATTGTCGATAAGTCCTTAAGTGTGACATTTTGAAAAAATTGCTTAAGTTAGGTGGCAATTATTTAATGTTCTTGTGAAACTTAAAATTTTCGTTTGAACAATAAGTCACCAAGTGGGACTATTCTCCACACCTTATGAGCTGGGCTGACATTATGGGATAGGAAGACTTCACCGCACTGTATGAGTTGAGTTGACGGTAGGGGATAGGAAGACTGCAGAAAAGGTGGAAGGGTAAAAAAAAAACTAAAAAAAATTATGAAGCTCATTTGACGTCTTTATTATGTTATAGAATTTGCCACGGTGACATAACGGGGAACAAAATTTTTTTGGCTGGAGGAAAAGTAAAGCTGTTCTTGATTAAATTTGATTGCAGAAAGGACAAAAAAGAGTGGGAAAGGCGCAATGTGCTTGATATGAACTCTCTCCATCAAATGTTCAAAGACACGCTTCCACAACCTTATCCGAGGCTTTTACGAGCGGAGTATGATTATTTTTGTAGTGTGAAAGATTTTCTGGAGTGAGTTTCTAACTTTCTATAATGTTTCTGGAGTTTAATGTAGTGTTTCGCTCTTCCACTAAATTTGTTTTATTTCATTTTGAGCAGTGCAAAGAGATTTATTTCTGACTTTTGGTAATGTTTTTGAAGTTTAGTGTGCTTTATTCTTTTACTAAATTTGTTTTATTTCATTTCTCTAGGCCAAAACTGAAGTACCATCCTTTCCTCTTGACGCATGAAGAGCGTGAGAAAATTGTCATTCGTGCTCAGCGAAAGATGAAAGCGAGAATACGGACTTTAACAATCAATGTTGGAAATTGGACATCTCGGATTGAACATGCTAAGCAACCTAGCATCTGTACTGCTGTCTTTTATTATCCTTTCATTCAGCGGCAAAAAAAAGTAGCGGAACTAAAAAGGCAACTAAGTTTGGTTGTTGAACCACATGTGTATTACCCAGAAGATTACACTAATGACTTCTGTTCTTATATAGATTATCTAAGAAATTTTAGTGCTCACATTGAGGAAGCAGACACGCTCAATAACTATCGGTGGATACTACAAGACTCTAGTGCAAATATCGTAATGCTTCTAATTCTATTTCTCTATTAAGTGAACCACCACCTCCTCACATCCTCACATATCATAATTAATCTTTCTTTGTTACATGTAACAGCCATGTTTATCGTATGATTAATCTTTCATTTATTGTTTTTTCTTTTACTCTTTTTGGCTATAATAGCCATCTTTGCCAGAAAGGAATTTAGCTCTTGCACGTCATTTTGGGGGTTCTTATCTCCTAAAGCTTTACCACAATGCTATGTTTGAGGAGTTAAGTCCTTGAAACCTGACTTTAAAGTTGTATTTTGTGGTAAGTTTTTCTTTTCTTTTCTATCAAAGCTATTCTCTGATCAAATGTTTGTTCTTGACGACTCCAACGCTGTTTTGTTTAGCACAATGAATGCATTTTTTATTTTCTGTCCCTAGAAATATTTGCTATCATTACTTATTCTTGTCCATTTGATCTATTCTGGTAAATTGCAAGTCTTAGAGTTCAGAGTCTTACTTCATGGTCAAACCCTGTTTTCTTGATTTTATATACTCAAGTTCTTGAGGAAGCAGCAGTCAAATTTTATCCTCATGTAAAATTTATGCGTGTAAGTCACTTTTAGATGCTTTATTTTGTACTCATCGTCTTCCTAATTAGGATGTTTGGTTAGACATGACACATGTTTTTTGGGTGCTTGATAGAAATATAAGCTGTATAATGTGATGAATCGAGAATGTGATGCTGCTCCTTATTGCCCAATTAAACATTTAGAAGGGGAACAATAGGACCACAAACAATTCTTCATGTTTCTTAAGAGCAAAATTTTTGTTTTCTAGAAGTAGCAGTCCATAGAAGTTGTTAGTTTCCGCATTTCACTTTCCTCAATGCTGTGGCTGCACAACATTTCATGATTTCTGCTGTTTATGGAATATCCCCCCAATCTATCTGTAGGTACGCAGCGATTTCAGTTTTCTTTTTGAAGGAATACTATTGATTGTTTAGAATTATATGCTATCTTAAATCTCTAATTTATGCATTCATGTTAAATATCTCATTTATGAATTTATCTTAGCATTGGTAAGACTTAGAAGCTTTGTAAGCCGGTTGGTAAGTCCAGGATAGGATGTTCTACGCCTAGGCTCGGTTGTTCCTGATAAGATAAAAGATTAAATAAGATATTAAACATGGCCGCATTCCTTAGACAATTGAAGATAGGATCTAGTTCAAAACAACCAAGTGTAGTTCAAAGTCATGAATATCATATGCCCGTAAATAATTCAGATTGGACTATTCCAGAAGAAAAAATAGAACATATTTATAGAATAGGCCCCTTAGATTTCAAAATAACTTTATCAGTTAAAACCCATGAAGAAATAATATCTATTCAAGAAGAATATCAATCAATTCCATTACTGAATCATAACACAATTCAAAAGTATCTTAGTAAAGGATATAGATATATTCATATAGGTTTAATTTAAGTTGCGGTTAAATTTTTATTCCACTTAGGAATAGATGCACCTATATATTTAGCTTTAAGAGACACTAGACTCAAAAGATATAAAATTTCACTTTTATCTATGATTCAAACTAATGTATGTAATGGACCTATTTATTTTAACTGTGCTCCAAATTTTTCAATAGATTTAACTGATCCACATATTTTGAATTCAGTAATATTAGATATTCATTTACAAGGTGACAATTTGAAAAACATACAAAGAATTTTGCTGTAATTTATAGAATGTATTATAGACCTTTGTCTTCATAATTAAATCCAAAATTTATAATGACTCAAACTTTAAAAGAAGAAACAACACTATTACAAGTCGATGCCGATAGACCTACTACTTATACTCCAAAAAGATTAAAATGGAATGAAATTACTATACCTAGTGAATTTATAATACAAAATTCATAAATACCAAGAAATATAGAACAAACAAATCCAGAAGATATAATAGAAGAACCTAATGGAAAAGTTTTATTAAGATTTTCTTCATTTAGAGAAAGACCTTCAACTTCAAGTCATTCATGGATACCAGCTAGAAGATCTAGTTACGACTCGCTTGATACTAATTTTATTCTAGAAAGTTCTTCAACATTTAAATTCAAAACCCCTGTACTGGAAATAGTTAACCAAAATCAATCAGAATATTCTCCAACACATTCTCAAATGAAAATGGAAATAAATGTAATAAGTAGAGAATATAAGATAAATCATAAATACTTACAAGAAGATTTTGATGAAGAAGAAAATACCGAAAAAAGAATTTGATTTTCTAAATTATCTTCTGAATGTAAAGAAAAATTAATATTAGAATGAAAAAATGAATTAGAAACAAGAAAGTTTGATTTTCCTTTCTTTACTTGGTTATCATTTTATATTTCAAAGATAGGAATAAATGATGTATATAATACTTCACAAATAAATGTTCAAACTAATTTATATAAAAAATGAAAATTAAAAGACGATCATGTAATAACGTCAATTCATCCTCCATTACAAGAAATAAAAATTAATATAGGACAAGGAGATATAATTGCATCCCCTTTCAAAAAAGGCAGAGAAACTGAAGCAAGTAGTAGTAATAATAATGTAAGTTTAGATGACATTAAAAAATTATATCACACTACAACAAAAATGACTTTTCCTGACATGTCTATAAGGACACTTTCTAATTTGTGTCATTATAGCAATCCTATCATGACACTTATTATTAATTCAATAATATATACTATAAATTCTTTTTATTTTATTTAATATAAAAATAATAATGTACCTTTAGACTATCTAGCGTGACACTTGAGAAAATGTGAGAAAAAAAAGTGACGAAAATTTTAAAATTCAAGGCAAAAAAAGTGGCGGACTCTCGTCTAATTGTCTTTTACCGTGAGAAGCAAAACAAAGCTTTTCTAAGTGTTGAACTCTCTCACAAATCACCTCTACCTCACTTTCACTCAAACGCCCACTCTTACCTCTATTTCCACCTCACTACTGCAATCTCAATCTCTCCGACGATTGAAGACCAGTGAAGTACCATGGCTCTCTGGCATGAAGACCAAGTAATTCTCCAAGTGTCTGCAGCGAAGGTTAGTTCTTTCCCTCTCCTCTCTCTCTAAAATAATTTGCAAATATTTTGGCCCTAAGCCTGTTTTTTTTTTCTAAAAATTTTTACCTGCATTCTTGTCGAATCTGCATTTAGGGTGTAATTTTATGGTTATTTACATGATTAATCTTTTCATCCCTAGAAATTTATTGCCCTAATTTTTAACTTGGGGAAAAAAATTGTTAAAAATTTTTGCCTTTCATCATGAATCCCCTAGATTAATTGCATCATCTGCCACTTGGCCGGCTTGGGAAGGACTTGCTACTTCTTAACCATTTTTTGCACAAAACCCAGCTACGGCTGGACTTGGCAGGGGGAGAGTCGAACAAAAATTGACCAGCGGTTGGAAAATTTTGGTTGTTGTCATTGGTAGTGTGAAATGTTGACCATATTTTCTGCTTCTTTCCCTCATTAGACAAACCTACCCAACAAACTTAGAAAACATTAAATTAGATGCGTTTTGCCACTAGTTTTTGGGGTTGATTTAGTTTATCCAGCAAGCTAATTGGAGCTTTTGTATGGGCACGCAGAATTGGAAGTTGAGTACTAAAATGGGTTGATTTTGTACTATGTTTTATGAATTAAAGAAGTTGCTTCTGCTTTGCAGCTGCATTTTTGCTTTTGCTTTGCAGGAGATTGGGTTTATTGAACTTTGTGGTTGGTATAAGAGGATGAGTGGTGTGATTATGGTTGTTGGCAAGTATGAGGTGGTAATTAATAGATGAAATTAAAGCTTCCTGGTGGGAAAAGATCATAACTTTTCTCTAGCTAATATTTAAGAAGTCCGGGTGTTCTTAGGTCTCTTGTTACTCCAACAGATCAGACGAAGGATCAGGAAAAGGAGTAAATCATCCGAGTCCTCTTTTGTATTGCAAACATCCAAGTTCGGAGACATAAAGGTTATTAGTGAAATCTCTCTCTTTCTCTCCCCCCCCAACACACACAAACACACACACACTCACTCACTTATTGCCTTTTCGGTGCATCCACTCTTTTGATATCTGTATGTCTCTGTTGGGAAATCCACATGCATTATCCCTCAAATCTAGCTGTTGAAAGCCATGAGAAAGCTGGGAGGAGCTTTTTTCTTTAAGAGAATTGTCTACTGTGCATGTTCTATATTTTTCATGATATTCCGTTTTTGGCATTGTGACTTAAGACTTAGCAAGAAATTGTATGCTTCCATGGATGTGTATTTGTGTATTCATTCATGGTGGGTAATATGTAATCAAGCACCACATCGTACAGGTTTTATCAACTTGGAAATCTTGGTTAGCATATTCACAACTTGTGAACTTGTACCTTTCGCATTTGTCTTTCTTATCGTGTATATAATACTTGGCTTCGTGAGCATATAGCAGTTACTCCCAAGGTTGGTCTCCTCTTCTCATCATTACTTTTCATGGGACTAATTGGTGCTTTTGAGAAGTGAAGGTTCTTTGTACCTTGTTTCTATTAGCTACCAAGCTTTTCATTAGTGGTCGTGATTTTGAGGATCTTGTAGAATTATACCCAATTACGAAGTTAAATTGTATTAATGGATATATACTATACATGATTGTTGGCATACTAATTGAATAGGTTGCTGTCAGTGGGGTTTTCATTTTGTTTCACTGAGGGCCAACCCCAACCCCAAACTTGTTTAGCTGGGAATTGGATTTCATAGTACTTGTCATGCCATTGACTTTGCTCATCTGAGTTCATCTTGTGAGGAAAATAAAATGTTCTGGGTAGTTAGTTCCTACAGTCTGGGCATTTAGTTTTGTTCTACAGCTTAATGCAGAAATGTGGTGGTTCTTTTCTGAGTCTCATTTACTGGCAAAATGTGCTTAAGAAATTATATGCTTTGATTTTTTCTGAATTTTTATTTGGGGATGTTTAAAAACGAAAGGTAAGAGAATTTGAATGGGGAAGAATACAATTTACAGGGCAAATTTATGCAATAATTTTGCGTGTAATATTTAAATGATGTTTTAGGAGAATTAACTTTGTTATAGTCAGCAAATTGCTGGATTTCTCCAAATACAAAAATTTACAGTATTTGATATGTTTACTTACGATATAGTCTAGATGTGCCTCGGTGCTTCCTCCAAAGTTGCATGTTTAGACCAATTTGCTTCTGCTTATGATTGAAGTGGACATTTCTTTGCATTCAGAAGCGACGTTGCTTTAGATGCATGTCAG